AAAATCTAGTATTTTTCCCGTGACGGGAAGAACGACGATTTAATATTGAAAAATTATATTATTTCAATATTTCTCTTGGAAATTTAGCGACGTCAAAGTTGAATTTTGAAATTAGTAGGCTATGTTGTACTTATAGCGACAATTAGACTTGCGTTGCTAAGGAAACTTTTAAAGTAATCAAATAGCTAATAATTTAATTTTGAGATTTGATTTAAAAATTGTGAACTTAGTGGTTTAGCAGTTATTTTTAATACTATAAAGTAAAAATGTCTGATTCCGAGTTTTCTTTGACGCCACTGGAATTCGTAGAAGTAGCCAAAGTAGCGACACAAAAATTATTGCCTGCTAAATCGTTTAAACAACATCCGGGAAAAAAGTACTCATTTTTTTCCCGAGGTAAAAAGTTATTTCACAAAAAGTGACATTTTGTTACCTGTCAACAGAGATAAAATGTCAAACTTTTTTCACAGAAAAAAGAATCATTTTGTCTTCTGGAAAAGTGGAACGCGGCGTTCCTTTGTATCGATGCGCGCGGATCTGGCCGTCTTCAAAAACACGCTGTACGAGGTGATACCGATAGTTAAAAAGTTTCTTGTCTGACTGATCGTTCAAGTCTCTAAATGATAATATATTGCTCTTTCACCATTATTGGAACTTTCCGTGGATTACGCCTTTACCACATATCAATTTTTATCCTTATCATCTCAAATACTTTTGAGGGTGCTGAGTTTGAATTAGCGATTTGTTGAAAAAGTTCTCGTGGCGCAAAATTGAAAATAATGGAATCTTCTGCCCTTTTATTGTTTTGCGATTGTGAACTATCGTGCCTCTCGAAAATCAAAGCAACTATAATCCAAAAGACAGTTTTTTATTTTCCTGGCATGAGCCATGACAGTATTAGGTTTGAAAAAAAAGTTTTTTGATGGTTCATAATGTCTACATCACGAAAGTCATGTCCCTTATTTTTTTATAAACGCATAATCTCTGAAACGGCTGCATCGATATTGTTAAAATTTTAAGGGGATTATACAATGACCTCATATTGATGCTACTTCATTTTTAGAAAGCGACTTAGATGTGACGAAGTTACGAGGAAAAACTCAGTCAGATCATTCCCAAAAATCGTTTATGTGTGTTTTACAACTTTCTCATAATTTTTCGGCATCATTAGTGCTTCAGTGTTTCTGACCATGTTAGTGCGTAGTCAGATATTTTTTTGTATATCAAAGCTTTAAAAAAGACGCATACGAGTACTTGAGAAGTACATAGTCAAGCTAATGCTGAAAATTGGCTCGTTTTTTCTTCATGAAACGCTGGCATGAATATAATGTCATTTGTTCATTTCAAGTATTATTCGTCGTGCGTGTGCGTTTTAAAAACAATATTTTTTTTATACTCAAACTACCACGAAGGCCTAAGGCCTAAACATCCATTGGGTACCGTGGGGCTATGGGGGATACAGGGGAAAGGGGAGACGCCTCACGGACTCTGGCGAGGTAACACGTGTGCATGCGACATGCACACATTCTGGCTCCGCCTACGAGATCCGCCGGGTGGTACCTCCGCGTTCGACAGTCACAGATCGTCTACCACCTACGGACAATCACAACATCCATAGCCAAGAGAAAAATTTCCTCCTGGGACGGGATTCGAACCCGCACAGCGCACGGCGACTGATCAGGAGACCGAAGAGTCTACTACTGCGGCCACCGCTGCTGCCTAGCAAAACAATAAAATGAGGGTGTATCATGATTAATTTACAAGCATTGTGGTTATAGAAGATCCTTGCAAACAAACATTCAACCAACGATTGTGAGATCCAGTGGTAATTATCGACCCTGCTTCTCCATATCTCCCGCGATTGCCTTACGAAATATCCGCAAAAGCAAAAAAGTTATCCTCGATGGCCATTAGAAGGCACTGAATGGTACGTTTCTTGGTAGAGATGGAACCGTGACGTACCGGTACCGACAGGTGTAGCGAGGACATCATGGTATCTACTGGTACGATGACTTCGAGGTTACGTTTGCAGGCGTTTTGACTTTCCCTTTTAAAAGACGGAATGTCGCTTGTCGGCGCGACGACGCGGAGATGCTTGTGCCTCCCACAAACAATTTTAAGAATCAATTTAATATTTATTAATTTGCATTTTGCTGCTAATTTGAGGGATTTTTCATACATACGGAATAGGACTATACTCGAAGTTGCAATTTATTTATCTGTAGTCTGTAATTGTTAGGTTATCCTTTTAGAATGGTATTATTTACGGGGGTTGCATGGAAAAGCAACGGTGTTGAATGCCGCCTCCCTCAACAAATGAGTTTATTTTTGTACTTTCAATCCAAAAATAAAGACACATTATTATTCTCATTTTCGGTAGAGCTTCTGATTGAGTTTTCCTTTAGAGGTGAGGTACTGATTTGTATAAAAAATATTATGAGACGTCACTTCTGACCGATTTTCATGTATTATCTACCGCCTACTTGTACTAGGCAATAATATATAACGGTTAGGAAAACTGTCTCACTGACAGATAACGTCATTTGTCTACATAATTGGAAAGCAAAAAATTTTGCTTAGACTTGTCAAAGAAGCTTCGACTCTCGCCTTCCATTTTTTCTTATATGATCACCAATGTTTTCGCTGATCTAGACCAGTTGCAACAAGTTTACAATCCATTCAGAATTACGAAAAACAAAACTAAAATAAAGGACGATCGTTTTCGTGTGTATATAAACATGGAAAAATGATATTTCGGATACGACATTTTTTATATGTGCAGCTTCTTCTCATCGTTAGCGTGACAAGTAAAGCTTTTGCCCCTAATTCCCTTACAAAAAAATCTACATTTAATTTGTACGTTTGATTCTTCTACATAATCCCCCCTAATATATATATATAAGAAGATATAGGCAATTAACTATGAATACTATATATATAGTATTAACTGTTAGGAGAAGATATCATTTAATTTCTTTGGGTAGAAGGCAAAGTATTGCAAAAGTACACTCTTATTACTCAAACTCTCAAGCTTTCGATGATCTATGTCTTCATCGTCTGGAGTAAGTCGGGGAGATTGTTGCTGAAATTGTTTTTAAACAACAGTGAAGGGAACACATAGTCGACGAATAAAAAACTGGACTGATGAGGTTCAATTAGGACGGAATTATTTTATTATTAAATGGCAAATCATTTTGAAAGGTTTTTTTTAATTAAACGTTGATTGATTTTGGAAGAAAATTTGAGATTTTAAAACTATCAACTATTGAAAATTCCTTCGAGATTTCAACTTTTTTTTCACTGAATTTGGAGGTTATATATATATATATATGTATATATAAATGCTCTTGTTTAGACGGTGCTTCAACATTTCAATAGCGCCCAGGAAAAAAAATTGTCTGACTGTTGAAAAACACTCCAATACCGCAGATATCACGAATTGCATATTTAATTTTTTTTTGTATATGTTTTAATTTGAGAAATATTATTAAATTGCTTCACATTAGAACTGGTGAATGCGGAGGGTAATCAAGATGTCTTTCCATACTAGAGATCGCGACACCTGTGTTATCAGCAAGATCATCTACATATTAGTAGAATGTCACCTTAAACCATTGGAGCATCTGACTAATTGAACATCCTATTCATTTCAAAGATGTATCAGTACTGTTATTCACAATTTGATTTGTTAAATCTAAAATTATAAAAATGTCACGAAACAGTTCTAGTACGTCTGCCGTATTCGGAGCTTTTGCATTTTATTGTATTGTTCAATTTGTCGGATCCAGACTCTTCGTATGCGGTAGCGTGGTTCAAGGGCGGTAGCCGCGACCGAAAAAGTGGTCAACCTTTTTCGCGTAAAATAACCCATTTCAAGACTAAGTTGCCTCTTGCAGTAGCATAACTGCATAACTTTTTGGTGCATGCAATAATTACCTTATACGGGTTCTAAAAAAAATGTCCTAGAGTTATTCTGATCCTGTCATAACTTATGGTCATTAGAAGAAGAACAATTCCCTGTAAGACACGGACAATGCGTTAATAAGCTCATTACATACATACGAGTTGATCAAAAATTTAAGCGGCTCAAAATATAATCTACTTTATTCCACTTTTGTAAATTTGCAGGGCGTTTGTAAAGTACAAGGTGAAACTCCAAAAACTTCGTATAAGTATAGGTTTCACGAATGTACCGTTACCAAGATATAGAGTGTTGTAATATATGCAACTGGCGAGACTTTTAAAAACTACGTGAGGTTTTCAATGCCAAACTTTACATATTTCAATGTATTTTCAAAGTAGAGCGATATCTTTTGTACGAATCTTCAGCATTTAAATATGGGTCTGACAAAAATGTCTGTAAAGAGGTATATCTTGTAAAATCAAACGTCTTGATCAAAAAAGTCAGTGGTGTAGAACATATTTTTCTTTTTCTTCCTTTTCTTCACACCAGTTTCCATAGACTACAAATAATAGATCATAACCCAATATGCATAAGTTTCCTGTGGATATCTTTTCGTGTTCTCTGTTTAATATCCTTAATTTTTTGAATCAATAAATCACTGGTGTAGTTTGAATAGCGCAAAATTTGTATATATTGGTTACTCAGTGATACATACAGATACATTTTCAAGTCGCCGACTGTATACACTCATGAAATTTTTCATCGATTTCGAAAATTGACCACTCTGTACCTCAGTAAGGGAGCATTTCAGGACTAATGTCTATATGACTTATCTAAAGAATCACCATTTAAAGCTTAGGCAGGTACTGTATTCATCTATTTTCACGAGACATCAGTTTCAAGATAGACTTTTCAATACGCTCGTCAATAGCACGAGACTCGCGTTTTAACGCACAGTAACAATTTAACGCCCGTATGTTTCGGCACCTAGTATCTAATTATACTGGTGTAATATTTTTTCTTCCATAAAAATCCTTTGAGTTCAAGGAGTATAAGGTTTTTCCTCAAATGTACAAGAAATAGTGTACGCACTTACCACATGTAGTTTCATCGGATCCATCAGCGCAGTCTTTCTCTCCGTTACAGAAGAGCCCTCTTTCTATGCATTGCGTGTCACCGCATGCCAGTTCACCTTCAGAACACACTGGTTTGTCGGTGAACAGCATGGGTTTCACTTTGCGCTCTTTGTTTTTCAGTTTGCAGTTTTTCACTGAGTCTTTCCAATCACAGGTCTGCTTCTCGATGTCGAAGTAGAGACCTGCTGGACACCTGATGGCTTGCAGACCCTGGAAAAAGAAAAAATGAACTATAGTTGTTTATATGTGCAGCTATACACATGTTGTTTTAACTATCGGCAAGCAAAGTCTAGATAAATCAGAAAGATCGGAAGGTTTTGTCTCGAAACAAAATTTTTTGGATCTGCTTTGGCTACTTGCACCCCTGTACACAGGTCGAAATGTTTTTAGTTCGAAGCAACGGTTCTGTACACCAGCTTTCTTTTACTTTTAACTGAGCAATGACCACTATCAGCGTGTTTGCAATTTATTCAGCAAGCAGAGGTTGCCATTGTGTTGTACTAGTTTTTATAGCTGTTACCGAGTTTTATAACCACTGAAAGCAATCAGTGCTCTTCACACACCTACGCCACTCGAATATCTACATTTTACCTCGAAATGCGGCGTCCATTATTTACGTGAAGTGCTTTTGACGATTTTCTGACTCCCCCTCCCCGTGTATGATCGAACGTGAGATCTTTCAAAATTCACATTTTCAGTACAAATGCATTTGATTTATTTGATAAAACACAGTTTATTTTATTATTTTTACCTAAGAGCAGTTAAGAATTCACAATAGTTTGGCCTTGAGATGGCACAGCAGAACATCTGCGCATTTGCGATCCAACGACAAGCCATGAAAAAACCTGTTCAAAAAACAGACAACAAAAAGAGGATTTAAACAACTAATCATTTTATCTTTTTTTTTCGCCTTAAAAATGCGATGTACAATGATTCCTTTCAGTACAACTCCTTTCCTAATCTAATGCCTAATGGTAGCTCAACAACAAGCGGCTTTTTGTCCAACGACTAACATATCATAAATATAAAATGCAAATGCACCTTGCACAAAATACTGTAGTTGGGATTTTGTATTTCGAACAGAACCTAAAACCACAAAAAATAGACTTTTTGGCGTTATCTCATTCAAACAAATGCATGATTTCGAAAAATAGGGAAATTCTTGAAAAATAAGCTCTCAATAGCAAAAAATTACAGGGTTGTCAAGTAAAAGTTCATGGTCCAAGAGGCTTAAGAGAAGAACAACCTATCAAGGTAACATGTGCAAAGGATGACGGTTGTACCTTTGTACTGTTTTCGTTTAAGGATAATCTAGGAATCATGAGGTGTTACCCCAAATTATGTTCTACCTTTTAGGGTGTTTCATTCACGTGAGATGTAACATAACTTCAGAAGTTCATATGAACGACATTTTATATTAGTTTTGATCTCTCCATCTAAGAAAATCTAAGAAAAAGCCTGCAAGGTATATCGACTCGTCAGTGCGAAACTGTTCCATATGAAAAAATTTCATGTTGCTTTTATTTTCTATATCACGTTTCGTGCGCTGCAAAAATGTTCTATGCGTATCCTTCCACAAGAAACTGACATCCGTCCCGTCCCATAGCCCAAATTATTTCAACTACTTATACAATTATGGAGCTATGTTTTATTATACAGTATGGCTTTTTATAGAAATGGACTCAATTGAATGATCATGGCATACATGATGCAACGCTGATATGTGCCAGGGATGCTACGTATCAGGTAACTTGATTTTTGTTTTAGTTCGGTCCTCAAAAACGTGAATATTTTTCACCGAAAATCTATCTTTGCGACAGAAATTGTACAAAGCTATAAAAAATATCTGACAAAAATAATTCTATTAAATACGCTTATTCTACAAAATTCGTAGGGTTTTCTAATTTTATGAGATCTGTTGCATAGTAACAGAGATAAACGAAATGAATCGAAGCGATGTATTTATTTAAATAACGCCTAAGCAAAACCCTGACTATGAAACTATATTTCTTGGTAAATAGTTCATGTATTGGTGAAATACAGACTCTAAAACGCTCATAATCACTCGATGACGAGCTCCCAATTATCGTGTCGAGTTGACGTTGGTTTGAGATTGCACAGCATTTAGTCGACTTCCAATTGAAGTGGTACAAAACGATAAAAGATGGCTAGATTTTACTTTCCAACCCTGTAACTTTTTCCTAGTTGGCTGTATGGAAATAGCTTATTTCACAAAATTTGTAGATAAATGAATGGCGAATAATTTCTAATTTAGTTTGTGAAGATCCGAAATGATAGATTTATTCAAATAACAGCCTCAAAAAGTGTACTTTCTAGTTTTAGGCTCAGTCAGTCACATCAAAACATCAACCAACTGTGGTAGTATTTGCAAGGTGAAACTGCTATTTGACTAGGGTGACAAGATAACTAACAATCAGATGCTCATTGAAGGTCGCCACCTACGCAGATGCTAAACTCATTTAATATGGCGCCCAAAACAATAGCTGTTTTCGTACATATGTTTTTGATAAATGACTAGATTACCGCTGCAGGCAGATCACGCTCCAAGCCAATGATTAATTTCATTAAAAAAATTAATGATTGTCTTGATCGACCTTCTAACGTCGTAACACCGGTCTGACCAGCCGTGTAAAATTTGCAACACAACAGCATTTCGTAATGGGTTTTACAGACAACTAGCAGACGATTGGTGGAATTGGCACTCAGACCTAGATGCAGTTTATAATAAATGCATAACAGCTGAAATTAGGTTTGAATAGAAAGCTTTGACTATAAATGCTCATATAAATTCGGCAAAACAGACTATGCAGATGTTTCGGAAATTCGCACAACTTTTTATATGGGGTTGTCCAAAACGGACGCAGGAAAGTAAACGCATATTAAAACAAGAAAGATTGATATTCAAATCAAGTTGGGTACTTTATTTTGACGGTTCATTTATACCATTTATGTATGAAAAATAATATCGCTCAAATGTTCAGCACGACTGGATTTACAGACGTCGACGCGATGGTCGAAATTTTCAATGATATTTTGCAACATGGTCGGTTCTATGGCATTTATCTCGGCAATGATGTTGTTTTTGAGTTCTTGGAGGGTGGCTGGTTTGTTGACGTAGACTTTGCTTTGCAAATATCCCCATAAAAAGAAGTCCAAGAGAGTCAAATCGCACGATCTTGGTGGCCATGGCACATTTCCTCTGCGCGAAATCACGCGATCACCGAAGAAGGACTGCAATCGATGGATATTGACGTTGGTTGTGTGGCATGTTGCACCGTCTTGTTGGAAAGAAACATCGTCCATATCCATTCCTTCAAGTTGCGGCAAAAAATAGTCCTCTATCATCACGTGATATCGCTCAGAATTGACGGTAACGGCGTCCCCGGCCGCATTTTCGAAAAAGTAAGGTCCGATGATGCCTTTTGACCACAATGCACAACACACAGTCACTTTTTGAGGATGCATAGGCTGCTCTCGATACTCACGGGGATTTTCGTTCGCCCAGATGCGGCAGTTTTGCTTGTTTACCGTCCCATTCAAAGTGAAATGCGCTTCGTCGCTGAACATGATTTTTGATGAAAAATTGGCATCAATTTGGCGGTGATCAAGGAGCCAATCTGAGAACGTTCGGCGTCAAAAATGGTTGGCCCGACGCAGCTCTTGCGTCAATTGGATCTTGTAGGCGTGTACATTCAAATCCTTGTGGAGAATGCGGAGCAAACTGGTTCTCTAAATGCCCAATTCTTGGGAGCGACGCGTTGTTGATTGTTTCGGATCGTCTCTCACACTGTCCTTCACAACAGCAATATTTTCCGGTGTGCGAACGCTCCTTGGCCGGCCAGCGCCTGGCAGATTTGCCACAGAACCTGTTGCCTCGAATTTACGCACCAGACGACCGATGGTTGTTTCGTTTGGACGGTTGTTGCGACCGAAATGTTCACGAAGCGCGCGAAACGTGTTTTTTATTTTTGCACCATTTTTGTAGTGCTCTTGGATAACTTTAATGCGGTCTTCAATCGAATACGACTCCATAGCGATCAATGGTAAACATTCAACTAACAAAATGACATGTCAGTGACAGAAAACAAAGATGGCGTCTATGTCAAATTGACGTTTACTTTCCTGAGTCCAATTGACATGCACACATTCTGGCCGTGCCTTAGACATCCGCCTGGTGGTACCTCCACGGTCTGAGACAGTCTACTACCTACTGAGAATCACAACGTCCATAACCAGCAGAGAAATTTTCTTGGGACGGGAATCGAACCCGTTCAGTTCACAGCGACTAGAATAGTAGGTGTAGGTCAGTCGATATTGTCATATACAATAGGTATAAGAAATGTATGTATCAAAAAATGTTTGCAATCTGTAAGAACTCAAAAAGTTAGGCCATTGATTGATGTTCGATACCTTGTACCAATAAATTGAGTGTTTACTGAGGAACTAAGGTAAAACATCGTATTCTGTCGGAATACAAAGTCTGGAAAATATCCATTGAGATTCTGAATCCTATTTCAATACCGGAAAAGTTATCAATAGTCGGTTCTGTCTACGGGATAAGCCAATCAGTTTACATCTAGTAAACTTTTTTGCTCACAATTGGTTATGGCATACTCGCTCAACGCTCAATTTTTGGAACATAGTTGCGTTAAGTATCACTCAGCAGATGAGGTAAAGCATACTCTAGACAGCGCTAGGAATTCTCGATTCGACATTTGATAAAATTTGCTCGCGATCTGTAAGGAGCGAAATGCAAAATGAGGGGAATTGATTCGATCGCTGCGCGAGTGGTGGACAAGAAGGGCATACATGGTCGGCTTGATAGTGGAAAATATAGGCGTGATCTCTATAGTGAAACCTGTGTCAGGTGGGATTAACTGAGGTATGACATTGGTGCGAATATTTTGCTGAGCGAATTCACAATTGACAAATTGACCAAATGTCTCTTATTTCGATTAATATCCGTTTTATTTTTATATTGCATATGTTAAGCACAAGTATTTCTAACCGACATCCTCTAGGTGGCGCTGTCATCGCGCACCCAGCGAATAGAAACTCGAATGAAGTGTATATGGTATAACAAAATGGACAAAAATTATGCAGGTGCAATTAAATATTAATTCTAGAAAAGCTTCTACGAGGGATGTCTCTTAAGTTTGGCATATGGAAATAAGACAACACGGTAGGTAGTTTTAAATGACTTTATTGTTTTTCGAAGTATTCTCCGCGAAGATTAATACACATCTGCATGCGCTCGAACCAATTTTCGAAGCACTTATTCCACTCGTTTGCTGGCAGATCCAAAACGGCATTTTTGAATGCGTCAACTGCTTCTTCTGGTGACTGGAATCTTTGACCACGCAGTCTGTTTTTAATTTTCGGGAAAGTAAAGAAATCGTTAGGACTCTATGGAGGATGGTCCAATAATTCCACGTTTTTTCCGTTAAATACTGCCTTGTTTCTTGGGCTGTGTGCGAGCTTGCATTGTCTTGGTGGAGGATGATTCTTCTTTCGAGGTTGATTTTTCGAAGCTCGGTAATGACTTTTGGCAACAAATGGTGGAATACCAATCCACAGTAACAGTTATTTGCTCATTAAGAGGAATTATTCCAATATGACCCGCTTTTGACACAAATGTCGCGACCATCTTTTTCGAAACACTTCGAGAACGGATAACTTTTGTTGGCTTTTCTTCACCTTGGAACACCCAAACAGCCGACTGTCGTTTATTTTCTGGTTCATAACAGTAAATCCACGATTCATCACCACTAACAATGCTGTACACATTTTTTGAGTTTCCGGATTTGAAACGGTCTAGCGTTCTTTGACACCAATTAACCCTGTCTGCTTTCTGCTCTTCAGTCAACAGGTGGGGTATCCAACGAGAAACCAATTTTCTTACTCCTAATCATTCATGGTAAATTTTTTTGAATTGAGGTCTTTGGGATCTTCAAGAACGCCTCAATCTCGCGATATGTCACATGTCTATCTTCAATGAAGAAAGAACATTCAGGGGGGTCATGGTAATCGGGAATCGAGATCAACCAGCCAACGCCCTGCACTCTTCCCCCCGCTCTTCTATTATGACAAGGGCAGTCGATATCGGAAACACATGCAGCCGTCGCAGCCCTCCCCCCTCCATGCTCAATGTTCTAACACCGACATGACATAAATCATGTGATCTGCACTGAGCCCCCTCTAAACAGCTTCCTAAACCCGCCACTGGATCCGCGAACACAATCGCCTTTATAAAAGTTATCTCTGGCTATTAAAGAAGATAGCTAAATTCCAGCCAAATACTGCACCGAGTATTTTAGTCGATGGCAATCCTATCAGTACGAAATTATTATAACTGCGGTTGTGTGTTCGGTAAATGCAAATGTAGCAACTCAGATACCGTATAGTACTGGACTGGGTTAGTCCCTAATCGTTATCGAAGAATGTCTAGTAACAAGTAACTTACCGATGACGTGCACTGGATGACGTCTCTGCAATTGTCTCCTTCCCCGGTAACTAACCGGAACCATTCACCCGCGTCTTTGTCTTTACAAAGTTCCGCCTCGAAGCTCTCTTCTTTCTTTGGAGCAGTTTCTTCATTCTGTTGCTGGGCGTAAGCTGAAAACAAAAAACTATGATATAAAAACCTATAAAGCAAAACAAATAAAATTATATTTTTGTCTGACAAGCGCATTAAAGTTTTGACACATCCACGTATTGGGCCAACGTAGGCCAACACCAATGTGTGAACGCTAAACCAATGTGCATTGGCCAAGGATGGCCATGTTGGCTTCAATGTGTGAATGCGGCATTAGACTTATTTGTTTACTAATGGGGGGCTAGTATCTTTTAGGCAACAGTGTTTTTGACAGATGACGCGTGAATCGTATCTTGTGTCATTGTCAAACTTGTTCAGTTTGGTCTATAATTTAACCATAAATCGACTTACGAACGAACAACGCTTGCAAATTATTGAATTTTACTATCAAAATTCATGCTCTGTTAAGAGAGTGCATCGAGCACTGCTTCCAATTTATGGGCAATTTAGTCGGCCTACTGAGGGAGCTATTCGGAAGCTTGTGACTAAATTTCGAACCCAGTTTACATTATTGGACATTGAACCACCAACATGCAGACGTAGAGTGAGGACTGAAGACAATATTGCGGCTGTATCCTCCAGTGTTAGTGATGACCATGAAATGTCGATTCGCAGCAATTGGGCCTCTGTTACTCCACTACGTGGAAAATTTTGCGACAGGATTTGGGTGTAAAACCTTATAAGATACAGCTGGTGCAAGAATTGAAGCCACACGACCTCCCACAACGTTTCCAATTTGGTGAATATGCGCTGGCAAAGTTGGAAGAAGATCCACATTTTTATAGAAAAATTGTGTTCAGCGACGAAGCTCATTTCTGGTTGAATGGGTACGTTAACAAGCAAAATTGCCGCATCTGGAGTGAAGGCCAGCCAGAAGCATTGCAAGAGCTACTAATGCATCCCGAAAAAATCACTGTTTGGTGTGGATTATGGGCCGATGGCATCATCGGGCCGTACTTCGTCAAAGACGACAATGGCCGGAACGTAACTGTGAATGGCGAGCGCTACAGTGCGATGATAACAAACTTTTTTTGCCCAAAATGGAAGAGCTGGACTTGGCTGACATGTGGTTTCAACAAGACGGTGCCACATGCCACACCGCACACGAAACAATGGCCCTATTGAGAGGCGAGTTCGGTGAACAGTTTATCTTACGTTTGGGGCCCGTCAATTGGCCGCCTAGTGTGATTTAACGCCGTTGGACTATTTCTTGTGGGGCCATGTTAAGGCTAATGTCTACAGGGATAAACCAGCAACGATTGACGCACTGGAAGCCAATATTGAAGCATTTATTCGTGAGATACCGGCCGATATGTTGGAGAGAGTGTGCCAAAATTGGACCTTGCGCATGGGCCATCTGAAGCGGAGCCGCGGCCAACATTTACATGAAATAATCTTTAAACATTAAATTATATCGACCGTTCTATCGACTCAAATAAAGATTCAATCGTTTTTTCAAATTTCTTGTGTTTTTTTTTTGAAAATCAAATCCTATACCTCTTAAAAAATCACCCGTTACTACCACTATTTAAGAATCTATAGCTTAAAATGTTAGTATGCGTACGTCAACACTATGAGAATTAAATAGAATGAAATGGTGGACATACTTTTGATAAAATCAGTATTTTTAATGTGGAATATGTCATGTCATCATCGCTAGGCCCAAGAACTTGTTGGATGGGCTATGACCAGGGAAAAGTGCTTCTCTCTTGACAGAAGCTGTTTGTAGGGTTGTCTTTTGGCCAATACACTCATATATCATCAGGTATGGGGGTGGTAGATGATCAGCAGCAAGAAGAGTCAACGCCAAATATTTTATTACGTTAAAGTGTAACGTTCAAAATATTATGTCACCCAAAATTCTAGAAACAAAGGATACATAGGCCAAATATATCCCGGGAAAATTGTCATGGAGGAGATTTTTTCTGCCGCTACTATATCTCTTGGTTGCTAATTCCATTAATTGTTCTTAAGATTAGGTTTGGAGGAAATGCAAAAAAGCAAGAAAATCTGAGGAGATCGGGTACTTGCAAGGAGATCCAAGGATATCTGAAGAGATAGAAGAGTTTCCAAAGAAATACAACAAATTCAAAGCGGAGGAGACCTTTTTATCCAATAAAATATAATTGCTCATTGATCCTTTAGTGGATACAGATAGTGATATTAAAAACAATAATAATAATAATAATAATAATAATAATAATAATAATAATGCGTTTATTGCCCAACAGTGATTACCATTTACAGAACAAAAGCTTACATGGTAGTTACAGCACAAAATAAGAATATCTTAGAAAAACAAAAAAAAAACAGAAATAGAAGGAACATGGAAAACTTGACCAAATCCATCATAGATGGGCTCGAGATTTACTCTTTAATTCAGAGGAAAATATCACATACACTTGAAATTTTGTTGACATTTCGGCACATAAAATTAATCGGAGCCTTTAATAGTAAGTTCGTTTGAGCTCTGTTGCACAGGAAAGTATTGTATTATCTAGATGTTCTGACATTATTTACACATACACCAATATGTCTATTAGATAAATATGATTTTAGTAGCAAGAGATAATTATTTTGTAAACCTAGATAACAAAGTTTCTTCAAATCTCATGACTGATCTTGCCAAAAGCTTTGTAAAAGTCGGCATACATTACATGAACTTGACCCCTGCTGTCAACTGTTGCACATAGAAACTGGCTAAAAACCGCTAAGTTGCTAATAGTCGACCGAAACTTCGTGATAAATAGAAATGCAATTTTTTGCAGACTGGTAGATACGATCATATAAAATCATTTTAAGAAGCTTAGCAAAATTGTTCAAAATGGATATTCCCCTGTAGTTGTAACGATATTGGAAGTTTGACTTTTGAATATATGGCATATTTTAGCAATTTTAAACTTGTCAGGAAAAACGGAAGTATTCAGGATCAAACTAAACAATACTTGAAGTGGCCTTGCTAGTACTGCTATGCAATCTTTAAGAAAGAAAGATGGAATTTGATCTGGCCCAGAAGTGAACTTGTTTTTTAATTTTCGTCCAACTTTTAGAATATCACGCTCAGTTATCACTACGCAGGTAATATTCAACAGATCGCATCCTTGAAAGTCAAAACTAAGTTGTTCATCAGTAATATTAGGTACAGAGTATACACTCTCAAAAAACTTAGCGAAAGCATTACTGATATTTTTAGGATCATTGAACATTTTATTTTCATCAGACATTTATGCAGGAATCCTAGAAGTATTATTTTTTGATGCATGAACGCCCAAAATGATTTCGGTTCATGTTTTAACTGATTTTGAATTTTTTTAGGTACTGATCATAAGCTTCTTTTATTTTCTGCTTATCAGTTACTCTTAGCCTATTAAAATCTTCATAAACGTGTAAATTTAAATTTCTTATGCAATTCAGCCTTTTCCTTAACTAGCTGAATAATTTCAGCTGTATACCAAACAGGATATCTATGCCTAGATTTTTTATAGACTAGTACATGTATATCAATTAATTCGTAGATCTTACCATAGAATCTGTCAACCGCTTGGTTACTGTCACCAATATTTTCCAAAAATGACCAATCTTTAAACAGCAAATCCTGATACAATGCAACAAAGTCAGCGTTTTTGAAGTTGTATTGTTTAGGTTCCATAACTGAATTGACAGATTCATGTTTGGAAAAGATCCTATTAAGCGTTACAGATTGGGCTGGATGATGATAGTCTTCATCAACATAATAAATTGCTTTTATTGGTCATGTAAGTACAGAAAAAGAAAAATCTGATGCAATGAGCAAACGGCAAGATTCGCTTGATTGACAACCATTAGTTCGCGCTCTTCCAAACTAGCTATGATACAACAGATCTTAATTTGCTAAACGATGGTACTGAAACAAGACTTGATCTAGGAACTGGAACAACATCAGCAATAGATTTGAGCTTAAGCTCGACAAATCTTGTAACCCGTCTGAACTGGAGCGTATTAGATGACCTGTATGGAAGCGACCATTTTCCTATAGTCATATCTAACCCAGGAGAATTGAACAGTGATACACTACCTGAAAAGTGGAACCTGAAAAAAGCAGACTGGATACACTTCTCGAAATATATAGAACACAATTTACACAAAACTCAAATAAAAGAGAACATTGATGAAACAATACACGAGTTCAATAATATTATTATAAATGCAGCACACACCAGCATTGGTAAAACTAAACCAGTTATGAATAAAATTCCTGTTCCATGGTGGAACGAAGAATGTAATACAGCAATCAAGGCAACTAAGCAAGCAGTAAACAAGTTTAAAAGAAACAGAACTATCGAAAATTTGATAGAACTTAAAGAAAAACGAGCACAAGCTAAGCTAACAACAAAAAAGAATCAAAAAGACTCCTGGAGGAATTTTGTTGGCAGTATAAATAGCTCAACACCTCTAGCGACAGTTTGGAAAAAAATAAAAAGTGTAGCTGGAGCCCCATCATACTCTCCAATCAGATGTTTAAAAGAAAACAATATAACACATACAGATAGCAGAAGAATAGTTGAAGCACTCAGTAAAACTTACCATAAAAATTCTAGCAACCAGAATTACAATCAAGAATTTCTAATACATAAGACCAACGTAGAAGCAACACAAATATTAATCCAGAACAACCAAGACCCAATGAACAAATTAATTTCTGAGCACGAAATGGAGGAAGCACTTAACGACTTAAAAGAAGCTTCTGCAGGACCTGATGATATACCCTCCATATTTCTGAAAAAACTCCCAGCAACAGCAAAACAACACCTACTAAATATATATAATAAAATATGGACTGAACACCTATTCCCAAATATATGGCGTCAAGCATTCACTATACCTATACTTAAGCCTAATAAATCACCTCTCGTACCAGAATCATATCGACCGATATCCTTAACATGTGCTATGTGTAAATTACTAGAAAAAATAATAAACAAAAGGCTGCTGTGGAGTTTAGAGAAAGGAAATCGTCTAATAAACGAGCAGTCCGGATTCA